TTTACTACCCATAATCATGCTTTTATACGAAGAAAAGTGGTATGAACGTACAGTCGTACACGATTACATCATGGTTCAGAGTCTTCCGAATTCGCCAAGTCGTCTTCAGTTTTCACACACCTTAATGGAAAATTAAGCTAAAAAAATGTAGTTCCATTTCCATATTTTACTTTTATTTGTTTCTAGACAACTATATGACTAATTTCTTATTTTTTTGGTTTGAACTTCTCGTTATGATTAATATTCTAACAGTTGGAAATTGATGTCAGAAATTTTTCCTATAGTTTTTATATTAGTATTTGGAACAGTGCTGTCTATGTTTCTCAGATCAGGCAGATCAGTGCTGCCCTATACTTTTAACTCTCAGGTTCAAGTCGGATAATTAGATGAAATAACAAGATAAGAGTTGAGTTAAATTTTGGTTTTTTTTTAAGCGTTCAGCAAAAAAAAAATCGAGAAGATAACAGCAAACGCTCAAAAGGAACCAAAATCCAAATATCTGAAACTTTGTTTGAGACAATAACACAAGTGAAGAAGACGAAGAAACAAGTTTTCATCAAAAACAAAAGCTGAAACAGTTTCTAGCAGCTAAAATTCAAAGGATAGATAGCGTTTAAACTTTGATGGCGTACTTCCTGATAGGGAAATACATCTCCTTCTTCTTCTCACGAACTGTCTTCAACGAGGCCTGCAAACAAAAAGCCAAGAACATGATAAGAACAACTGCATTCGCAAGAATCTCAGATTCATATAGAAATTAGAAATAGTAACTGTCATTGAAACATCTACAGAAATGAATAGTGATCTGATTATGCAGAATAGACACAGACCTGGTGTTTGGTGAGACGTCTGCGGATAGCACGGGTCTTCTTGGGACGGAGATCGAGAGGAAGGAACTTCTTGTTCTTGTATGCTTCCCTTAGAGCAGATTTCTGCTTCTGAGAGGTCACTGTCAAAACCTGAGCTATGGATTTACGGACCACCTTGCTGGAGATTCACAAAACAAAAGACTCAAACTTATTCCCATCGAAACCCGAATCACATATTCAAACCAGGAAATGTAAATCCCAAAAACACATCCAGAAATCATGAAACGAATAATAACACTCTCTATAATTCAGTAAGGACATCGCAAAGCATCATTTTCGCATCCTTAAGACTTCCGAATCGAAACACGTTTCAGCTAAAATCGAAATCTACAAAGTTTCTCAGTTTAGGTTACACTTACATTTTGGAGAGCTTGTTGGGAGCACCTCCGGTGACTTTGGCGACACGGAGGAGAGCGAGCTCAGCTTTAAGATCCTTAAGCTGGTTCTGCAGATCGATCTTCGACTTGTCCCTCAATTCGTGAACCTTAATCCTCGCTAGAAACAGAAAGAAAACAAAATATTCAATCAGATGTAAATCCTGCGAAGAATACGAATTGAGAAACGAAACAGATAACAGAGATTCAGGGATAGTTTATCGCCATACCCATCGTGAGCTTTATTCGTGTTCAACTGCTGCGCCGCTACTGCACTCTTCTTAAGGCTCGTGAGACTCAGAAACCCTAGTGGACGAAGAAATGAGATTATATACTAATGAGAGAGAGTAAAAAACCCTCGAGTCTCTTTAGTGGGTTGTAAAAAGCCCATTAGTCACAGTCTGGCTTAAGAAGAGAATACTTAATGGGCCTGTGTGTTTGGTATTTACATCATGTGTTAGTGGTGTGAGTAACTGTGATTTTTCTACACTTCAGCCAACAACAAAAAATTCTTGTAAGTATTTGTGATTGTGATAGGATGGATATTCATTTCAAATTTAGAAGTATTTGGGTATTGTTTCTATACATTCGTTAGTAAAGTTACTTGCCTTTTGGAAGTTTGGAGACGATCTTTGTCTTGGGTAAGTCAAAACTTGGAAATTATGCTAAGATGCTCGAATTTTGCTTTGTGTGTGGAAGCCAGACTCATCTTTATCAAACCCATAATGTAAAAATGCTTGGAATTTAGCTCAAATACATACCAATCTTTCAACAAAGTGTTAAATTAAAATGCACAAACAAGAACGGAAAGAGTATGCGAAAAACCCATCCCTCTTTTTTCAAGCTACAAACTTACCAATCAACCCAAAAGAGGAAGCTATAGTAAGCTTAGTAAATGCCATGAAATAACAGAGAAATTCATCGTAAGCTACAATCAAACTCCATTCCGAAATGTCCTCCGCATTCTCTCTGTACGGATGATTCTCAGGAAGAATACAAGCGCATTGCTCGAATTGCTTCGCAGCATCGTCTTCTTTCTTCATCAATGTATACACCAATCCTTGAAACATATACGTCATGTAATCTTCTGGATCATCTTTCACTAACTCTTCACTAATCCGAATTGCTTCAACTGGGTTCCCTTCCATAACCTTAATCAGAGCGATCAACATTCTGAAACTGCGAATCTCTTTCGTCTTCGTCTTGCATCTTTCAATCGCATCGCTGATCCTCTTCTCTAACTCTGCTAATTTGGGTTTAGAGTCGAAATACTCCATCACCAAGTAATGATAAGCATCGATTCGATCCGGGTCCTTTGAAAGAATCTCTTCGAAAGCTTTGATTGCTGATTCGCTTTGGAAGTTCAATGACAGAATCCGAGCCTTCATAACCGGCCATTTTTGCTCATCGGGATCGATCTCGATCAGGCGGTTCAGAATCTCTATCGCTTGATCATACTTTTTGGACTCGAATTTGATTTTCGTCAGTGATAACAAAGCTTCCACATCGTTCGATTCTGTCTCGAGGTGCTTCTCGAGCGTTGCTTCTTCGGCAGTGGTGGTGACTGGAGTGGGTTTAGAGGCGAAGTAAAAGGACGACGCTGCGAACAGAGCCGCGGCTGCAGTGAGAGTGATGCAAGTGGTTTTGACCAGTGAAGGTTTGGGATTCGTCGGCGATGATGATGATGAAGCTTTGATGATTGGGTATCTAACCAATGTTGACTTCGTTAGGTCTCTGGAAAAAGGAGGGCACACGATTTTTTTAGTAAATTTTCGATGGAGATTGATCTGTAGGTTGAATGAAGGTTTTGAGCAACGAAAATTCGCCGGAGACGCCATTTTTGTAGATAAGTCAACTCTGAAAGGGAAACGGAAAGGGAAAGAGAAGAAGAATAAAACAGATCTGGTAGTTATTATTTTAATCCAGATGAAAAATACAAAACGACGCCGTATAATCCAAGGCCCATTAGAGCCCACGACAAATTCGATTCATCTGCAAATTCGATTCAGTACATGTATGTTGACAATGTGGTGTTTTAGCTGGATAAATCTCTCTTTTTTCTGCAGTGATACAATTCAGTTCATTATAAAAAAATTGTTCTGTTTGCAGGTTTTGTTGTTTTAATGCATTATTAGCTGATTAGAGAACAATTTGACTCGTTTTGCTATAAATTCCTCTGGTTTGAAGTTTGAACACCCGACACACATCCTCAAGAATTCTACCAAAATCAGCAGGTGTTGTATGGGTTATTTCTGTCATAATACACATATTGTTTCTTGTATCAATCTTTTATGGTCCTGATGCATTATCTCTGATTGCTTGTATGGGTTATTTCTGTCATAATCGGGATCGATCTCGATCAGACGGTTCAGAATCTCTATTGCCTGATCATACTTTTTGGATTCGAATTTGATTTTCGTCAGCGCCAGCAAAGCTTCCACATCGTCCGAGGTGCTTCTCGAGCGTCGCTTCTTCCGCGGTGGTGACAGGCGCCGTGGGTTTAGAGGCGAAGTAAAAGGACGACGCTGCGAACAGAGCCGCGTCTGCAGTGAGAGTGATGCAAGTAGTTTTGAGCAGTGAAGGTTTGGGATTCGACGGCGATGGTGATGACGATGTTGAAGCTTTGATGATGGGGAATCTAACCAATGTTGACTTCGTTTGGTCTCTGGAAAAAAGAGGAAACATGAGTGTTAGAGTAAATCTTCGCTGGAGATCGATCCGTAGGTTGAATGTAGGTTTTGAGCAACGAAAATTCGCCGGAGACGCCATTGTTGCAGATAAGCAATGGAAAAGGGAAAGAGAAGAAGAAGAATAAAGCAGATCTGGTAACGGTCCACACCTAAGAAAAACGCACAACGATACCGTCTTGAAAAGCCAAGGCCCATTAAGAGCCCACGAGAAATTCGATTCCTCTGCAAAAGGGAGAGTTTTAGACCGTAGATGTTTTTTAATCAACGAACATAACAAGGCCACGTAAGCGAGCCGTGTCATACAATCACTAACCAATCATATTCGTACCACACCACCTATATGTAGAGATATATCCCGGAACTATCATCATCATAAGCGTCAATTTACAATCGAAATCAATGGCACCGAAGGCAGAGAGGAAACCGGCGG